GGTGGATGCGCCATCCTCAGCCGCATGTGGAAACGATTAGCAGCGACGACATGAGAAGAATCAGCCGGTGTTTACACGGTTCCAGCAGCGAGAGGCAAACAAAATGTCAAATCCGCCTGGGAGGGTCCTGACTCTGGGATGCTTGGTTGCAGGACGTCAGTCCATATGGCAGGCCGATGCCTGGAGTATGGCGTTGCGGGGGCTTTGCCGGGGCGGCTAGGACTAGCCCGTGGCGGGAAGGGGACGACCGGGGGACGGTGCCACTTGTCCTGACGTGGCGACCTCGACTGGGGGGAGACAGATCTCCAGCTGGCGTGAATGGGTTGGTACCCAGGCTAGTGTCAACGGGGGAAGCCCTAGCGGAGTTGTTGGTGCTTCCTCCGTTCGAGATGCTGGGTCTCTCCTGCTGCTTAGGCTGTGCCCAAAGGGCGATCATACCAGTTATAGGGGGCAAGTGGCCGGAGGAAGCCTGGTGACAGCTGGATGGACCGGTTGTGCCGCAGGATTCTGCAACTTAAGGCCAGCGTTTCCTGCCCTGGAAGCAAAGGAAACCTTGCCCCTGAACGCTCACTCTGGGGCACTGTCGGCTCGGAGGAGAGTGCGGAGAGGGGCAGTTTCTGGAGAACTGCAGAGAGCCACAGGGGTCCCCCCTCCGCCCCCAGCAATTACAAAGCGATTTCTTCTGCTCATGAAGTTTCATGCCTAAGAAAAACAAACAGCTGTTGCTGCCGCCTGAATCCCATTCATCATCCTACAGGAACCAGTCAAGCTGGCTGAGAAAGCCCTCCAGCGTGGGCCAAGGCAACCCCAGCCCAGTCCAGCCTCCCAAGCAACTGGCTCCCGGAGCAAGGAACAGGGAGCTGCTGAAACCTGTGTCCCGGTCCGAGCATGGCCGAGGATCTGGAAGGAGCCCTGTGCGCCGGAATCACGCAATGGACGCAGGTCTTATAGTGGATGTGCTTTCCACGCCTTTGTGAAAGGTTTTAATATTCCCAGGGAGCCTGATGTGACCTTTCACCCCAGCCCTGCTCCCTAACATGTTTGGTGTTCACGTGGGCACTGGCACAAAGTCCTTTTCCTCTCCCGCTTTCCCTTTTGCAGTGGATTAGCTGCCCATGCCCTTGGAAATATACCTAGGGCCCTACCAAATCCATGGTCCATTTGAGTCAATTTCATGGTCATAGGATTTTAAAAACGGTGTATTTCATGATTGCAGCTGTTTACATCGGAGATGTCTTGGGGTTGTAATAGCAGGGGTTCTGCCCCACAAAGGAGTTGTGTGTGTTTGTGTGTGTGTTTGTGTTGGGAAGTTGTATGGTTATTGTAGGAGGGCTGCAGTGTAGCTACCTTTTCTTCTACACGGCTGCTGGCAGCAGCGCTGCCTTCAGAGCTGGGTAGCTGGAGAGCAGTGGCTGCTGTCCCGGAGCCCAGTTCTGGAGGCAGAGCTACTGCCAGCAGCAGCACAGTTGTAAGGATGGCCTGGTACGGTGTTACCATCCTTTCTTCTGCACTGCTGCTTGCAGAGCTGGGCCCTTAGCAGCTGCCACTCTCTGGCCACCCAGCTGTGAAAGCGGCAGGACAGCAGTAAGGGCGACACCGGTAGGGTGCGGTCACCCTTACTTCTGTGCCGCTTACATGGCAGATGCAGTCTGAGGCTGGGGAACCAACTCAAGGACTTCAACGGGGTTACATGTGGCCTGGATTCAGTGCTCAGAGTGAGGAGTTTCAGAAGGAAGAGCCCTACTTCTGCTGTGCTACCGATAACGGCCGGGTAGATGGCCAGGAGGGACCTGTCTAAATGCCCGTCCCTGTCACTGTTCCCCTCGTCCTGCATTTCCCCCTTCCCTCCAGTTACCTGCTACACCCACTTATTGTGCTGTGTCTTAATCACACTGTGATCTCCTTAGGGCAGGGCCTGCCTTTGACGTTGTATTTCTACAGCACCTCGCGTGACGGATCCCGGCTGGCGTTCCTAGGCTCTCGCACTTTGTCAATCACAACTGTACCTGGGGCTAGAGGAGTTGGGGGCAAAGCGGCCAGCGGGGACATAAGTTTGAGATCATCAGTGCTCTGCTAGGGATTGCCAGCCCACACGAAGCTGGTGCAGGAGTTATTTAAACTATTGAGTGCCAGCCTTCCTGGTGGAGGCTGGCTACATGGCAGGAGATATCAGGGGCCTGTAACATCATGGCTGGTGTGGGGAAAGGGAATAGGAAGGGTTCTTTACCCCTGCATGCAACATAAGGCCCCCGGGCGAGCGGCTACAATAGAAAGGCCGAGGGTTTAAACCAGATATCTGGAAGCACTTCTTCATGCGGCGCAACCTCACCCTGGGGAATTCCTTGCTGTTAGGAAGGGCCAAAAGTCTCGCAGGGTTCCCAGAGGAGCTAGATGAGTTCCTGAAGGAAAGTTCCCTCTGGGGCTGTTAGCCACGATGGTCAGAGACACAACCCCATGCACAGTGTGTCCCGAAGCCTCTGACTGCCGGATGCAGGAGCCCTGCTTTGTTCATTCCCGCCGAAGCCCTGGCTTGGCATCAGTCGCTGCGGGAAGGCAGGGTACGGAGCTCAGCAGACCGTTGCTCGGACCCATTCTGCCGTTCTTAGGGGACTGAGGCCCAGTGCCTAGCTCCTGCACAGACTGTGTGCGGCCTCGGGCAGGTAACTTCATGTCGCAGTGCTGCCCATCCCCGTCTGGAGGGCGGGGCTAAGCCCTGGCGTGGTGTTGGGGGAATAAATCCTCAGCGGTGCAAGGGAATAGGGGTCCGTCTCCAGATGGAGGTTCGTGCGCGTCTTTTTGTTCCTGGCGGAGGAGGGGGCAGACGTTGCTACCACCCCTGGGCAGGAGGCTGCTCCGAGACCCGCATGAGCCCCGGAACTCTGAGTTCCTCAAAACGGAGCGTTCTGCACCTGCGGGAAGGGACGCGCCACCTTTCGGGGAGCCCGCAGCTGGGGCGGGTGTGAAGTGCCAGCAATGGCCTGTCGCTCAGGCAGGACTCAGCTTTGCATTCCCCAGATTTCTGCACTTTTGCAACACCCCGGGGGGCAAATCCCATCCCTTGTGAGGCTTTGCAGGGGGTTCACAGCCTAATGTGGGGGGCATGAGAGCAGGAAGGACACGCCTGTCCCTGGAGTGGCAGGGAACCTGACATTTTGGGGGCTCCCGGTGCAAGGCTGGGCAGCAGGGTCCGGGTTGCTTGGGGCAGGTCTTTTAGAGGCGCGGTGACTGCTCAGCTCTGTTTGCTGTCTCCCCCTGTATGCCATCTGAATTTCCCAG